GAAAAGAGAGAGAGAGAGAGAGAGAGGAGTTAGTTAGAGGAACGAAGAAGAGAAGGTGGGTTCTTCTTTATTTTCTCTCCTCCTCTCTCGTTTCGTTCCTTTCCCTCGGCGTGGAAGACAAGTGGCCACTTTTCTATCCAGGGGTCGGCGGATGAAGGCAAAGTGGACGGTGAACGCGGAACACCGGTTCTTTTACCACGCGCCTCGCCCTTGATCCAGAGGACGGCCACGTGCACGGTGCGAGTCGACGATAATCGGTATCACGGAGAATCACGTTCATTTCCCCACCAACTACGGCCACATGACTTGACGATCGCCCCACCTACCGCTGTTCGTCGTTGAGCGAAAGCGGCGACAGTGGAAGCAACGTGACCGACCGACGTGGGGAGGGCGAGCGCATCACGACGACCACGACCACGACCACGACCACGACGATCGACGACACCAACGACGAGGACGACGCGGAGGAAGAAGGAAGAAGAACGGCGGAGGAGTAAGTCATCGGTTACTCGCAAGCGAGGAGGCTATTTAACGAGTGACATAGGCCGTTGGTGGTTCAGTTAGCCGCGCACGGTCAACCCAGGTGCGAGAGTCGTTCGTGCTCTTGCATTTTGTTCTTTTTTTTTTTTTTCGTTACCTTTCCCCTCTCTCTTCCGTTGTTTCTTTTCCCTCTTATCTGGTCCTTGTCTGCCTATTATTTTCGGGTGGGAAGGTCCGGTCCACCGTGTCCGGATAAAGATAGATAGATAGATAGATAGATAGTTAGATAGATATAGATAGATTATAGAGATAAGTGGGCCGTGTTGATCGTGGCTGTGCTGGTGCCGTTGTTTGTTGTCGTTGTTCTTGTTATCTTCGTTGCCTCCTCGGTTCGCCGGTAGAGAAGTAGCGGTTTTCAGTGTGGATAGTGCGGATAATAGTGACGAGTGTGAAACTGGAGCCGCAAGTGGTAGCAGCAGTTGCAGTCGAGAGGCAGAGCTATCATGTGCCCGCGGAGGATCTTCGGACTGGCCATCGTCGCGCTGGTGACTTTTGGTGGACGAGTGGCAGCCTATACGAATCAGTGGGCAGTGCACATCGAGGGGGGACCGGATGTGGCCCAGCAGGTCGCGCGGGAGCATGGATTTCAATATCTCGATAAGGTAGGAACCCTTGCATACTTGTATCTATTTTGATTTTTCTCGTTCGAAACGACACGAGGGATATAATATTAAAATTATCATAAGTATAATAACATAATTAGAAGTAAATATTAGAAGTAAAAATTTAGATGGATAGTTGTCTATTATTTGTACTTATTATACGGGAAGTTGTTTGGAATGCAACAGATTGCAGTAATAATAGTTTTGATATTTTTTTTTTTTTTAAATTAGGAGAATTTATTATCTATATTATATCTCTTATGTAACGCGTACGTCGTATTTCGTTCTGTTGCTTGCTCTGTCTTCTTGTTTCGGAAATATAATTTGTTTGAAAATGAGATTTGTTTAAAAATGATCGATAATACGATGTATTTGTAGAGGGATATGTCGACAAATATTATTGTTTTCCTGTCTTTAGATAAAGAAAATATTCTTGATGATCGGGAACGAAAAAAATAAATATTATTAAACACGCACACAAAAAAAAATCGCAATTCAATGAAATTAGCAATTCATTTCGCGTGATCATCGATAAAACAATATTAAAATCGGATTAAGCAAACGATAATCGTCCGATTATTTTTATCTCTCGCTTACATATCCGCAATTCCATTCGAACGAATCACAATTCGTGACAGTATTATACATTTCCACGCATCTTCGAATAATTCGCGTTCGCGGAATAACTCTTCCTCCTCTTCTCTGTAAATCGTATCGGTGGGATGCGATACTTTCTCTGCGTGAAAAATTTTTTCGATTCGAACGGGAAGAAAAAAAAAAAGAAAAAAATGTGCAACACAGCAACAAGTATTATACGTGTACGCGTGTAAAATAACACGATAATTGCGTAAAAATAAAAATTTTATTTTTTTTTTCATATCAGATTTCACACGCTAAATCGAATATATGGATATTTTCCAGAGGAATAATAAGGAATTTTCCCGCAAATCATTCAAGTTAGTTTCACGTATCTGTGCAAAAGTCAGAGGTTTAACGCTTGCTTCCCTGACCCGGAGCGAACGAGTCGGTCGCTCGAAAAGATCACTTTTCATTTTCTGTTTGGCATTCGTGGAATGCAGTATTCGCCTATCCATTCGGGTTATTAAGCCTTTGTCGATTAATGCGGCCGATATTGTAATTAATCGTAGATCTAAAATAACGTCGTCGTGTCGCTTGGGTTTTCGAACGTGGAATTTAATTGCTGATTCGAGCTCGTTGATATCTCTCGCTCGTTATCGAAAGGAAATCGGAGTAGCTCTTGGGTTTTCTATCGTGGACAATTAGACCGGCTCGAAAGTTACGGTGATCGTTGTTCGAGGGTTATAAAACGAGGTGGAGAATCTAATAAGTAGGGCTCTTTAGAATGTGCATCAAAGATCTGGCTTTGTATAAGCAGATAGGGAAGCAAATCGGAGAGATGTTACTTTATATTTTCTTTTAATTAACAGTTTCCTTGGAAATCATGAATAAATTATTCAAGGAAATTCAAGGATATATAATAGAAATAAAAGCTTAAAGTTGATTGCTTTTTTTCCCCCTTTTCTACTTTATAATCGTAATGATTGTAAAACGTCGATGTTCTTTTTATTCATTAATCTGGAATATATCGTAGATGACGAATGTGTAGACGAATAATTAGAAAATTGTAAAAAAAAAAAACAAGGAAATGTTTTAAAATTGCAAAGTAACGCTTATATAACTCGAATTTTTATGTTTTCGAGTTTCCTTTTATTTTTTATTCATCCTCACGAAGATTATAATGCAAAATTCAGACGGGAGTTGATAATGACTCTTTTATATTTACTGTTTATATTTACCTTAGAGTAATTTCAATGAAATCCAATAATTCAAATTAGATATTCATGTAATTTTTTTTTTTTTTTTTTTTCTTTTCTTTAGAAATTTTCATTCGATACCAAAAATTGAGAAAGGTCTTCAGTTACGGATCTTTTTGACAAGTACGAGAAATATTTGTAAAAAATGCAACGAAATCGAATACGATCGACAGCGTATTTGCTCGTGTTTACTCGTATGCAAATTTAAAATCTTTTTTGCACCTTTCTTGCATAAATACATTGAATTATCGAAAAAATATCGAATAATAATGTTAATCATTGCAAAAATAAGACAATTATTACGCTTCGTTTTTGACAATTTTCTCAATTTGAATGAATTAAGCTTAATATCAGAAAAGTGTTCAAAAAAATTTCGAAACATTCGAAACTCTATTTTCACGAATTATTCTTCGTCCAAGTCGAAGCGGCATTTGTCGCAACGTTTTTCCTTTTTTTCAATCGCGAGTTAACGATTTCTGAAATCGATCCCTTATCACCTTATCGGTCTCGATATCACGGATCCAGAAACTTTTTCGTGGTTTCGCGATCAAAGTGAGAAATTTCCTTGAGGTGGAGGCTCAATCATGCGAGGCTCATCTTTCCCCCGTGACGTGTAATATTGCCTTCGTTGGAGGAGGAACATTTCCGAGGTTTCTTTAAAAAGGGAGCGACGAATTCTTCGATGTAATTTCGGGATTTCTTCGTGTTTATGCAACTCCATGTATTTCGACGGAATTTCCTTTATTATTATTATCAGGGCGTCGTCCCTGGTTATTTGTCTTAGACGGTTTATCTTGCCGTCTTATTGCCGCAATTTTTCTCTCTTTGAACTTATTTGTTCAGCGTTTCCTACATTTCAGATATAATAATTTGTAAATTTAATTGTACGAGCGGTGGTGAAATTTCAATAATATTTCTTTCCACATTTCCAAAGATTGTTAACAAGGTATTTATATCGATTGAGACTTGAAATTGTTAAAGGAGATTGTCATTCAGGTTGGAGGAAGGGTATAAATTAAACGTGAGAATAATATTTTTATTAAAAATTAGTCAATTCGATCAGGTATAATATTATTAAATTGTAAGTGAATATATATATATATATATCCAAGCCGTATACAATTTCGATGAATTTCACTTTGGAAAATAATTCTCAAAAAAGTAATCGATAATGCGCATCGAATAAAAAAAGTTTTAAATCTAGGATAACGTATTTTTCAAAATATTAATCTTTAAAAATTGAAATTTTTCGTCAATAATATCGTCAAATTTCGTCCAATCGCATAATTAAAAAAAAAAAAAGAAATTTCTTTCTCTACTTTTACGAAATATTCCAAAAAAACATATATATTTTTCGATACACTCGTTTCAAATTTTATGGCTGTTTTCGTGTTTATAACGTGTAGAAAAACTGCAATTATTTTTTCCAAAAAAAAAAAAAGGAAAGGAAAAAAAATTATCTCCCGTATAAATTTTACCCGTAATACAACAGATAATATGCTATATTCGCTCATATTTCTTTAAATAGGCATGAATCACGTGATGCTCGAAACACGAAATTAATTCCACGAAATTCACACGATTAACAATATCGTCTTTATCTGAAATCGCTCTTTTGTTTGCGAAGCAATTTATCGAAAATTTATCTCTTGAGAATTTTTTCTTTTCTCTTTTCTTTTTTTTTTTCTTTCGAGAAAGATAAAATTTATCAGGATAAAAATATTTTTGTACGCGTGTATCCCAATAAGAAAATCCCCTACTTTTTGGGAACGAGAGCGTTAGAATTATACCTGTGCATTTAATAAAAAAAAAAAAAAATAAAATCCTGCTCTATTTCGAGGCAACTTTTATCTCAGGGAAGCTCCGGCTCGGTAACTGGGTCACTTTTTAACTACTTTATGGGTTATTGCGAGGATGTCGAGGGAAGTTTGACGAATCGACGTTGAAATTCATTAATTTGCGCGTCAATCTTACGTTCTTTCTCTCTCTCTCTCTCTCTCTCTCTCTCTTC